CTGGTGGTGTTCCCTTATGGTCCCTGTATAAAGATAATTATCCCAACCCCGCAAAACCCCATTGGAAATTCTTTAGGCCCCTAGCCCTGAACCCTAAACGTTAAACCCTAAACCCTAAACCCCAAACCCGAAAGCCTAAACCCTGAACCCTATATATCTTTTTTAATTATTCAGACCCCTATATTAAGGTGGTTGGTGACGCCTTTTCTGCAGGAACAAAGCATGGAGAGGGAGGGGTGCGGCCTTGTGATCAGGCCCGCGAACCCGGACAGCCCAATAACCCTAAACCCTAAACCCTAAGCCCTACACCCGGGGCCCTCGATTCAGCACAGAAGCCCTGAACAGTTCAAAAGGATGTTTGAGGCTAAGGCATAGTCTCCTTAGTTTAGCTAGAAGCAGGGTTGAGGGTTTAGGGTTTAGGGATAGTATTAGGATTTAGGGTTGAGGGTTTAGGGTTTAGGGTTTAGGGATATAAATCCCCATCATTCGAGGGGGCTCGGGCTAGGGAGGTAAGCCTCGGCTTCGGGCTGCAGTGGCCGAGTTCAGAACCGGAGTTGCGCACCCGAAGCCCTAAACCCTAAAACCCTAAAACCCCAAAAAACCCAAAAAACCCAAAACCCTAAAACCCTAAAACCCTAAAACCCTAAAACCCTAAAACCCTAAAACCCTAAAACCCTAAAACCCTAAAACCCTAAAACCCTTAAACCCTAAACCCTAAAACCCTAAAACCCTAAAACCCTAACCCTAAACCCTAACCCTAAACCCTAAACCCTAAACCCTAAACCCTGAGTTGCACACGGTCGGTCAACAGGAAATCCGCGTCCTGCGGGATGTGGGATCTGGGGCCGGATTGAGGTTCGTTTGGGCTGGCTTCAGGGTTAGCGTTTAGGGTTCAGGGTTTAGGGTTTAGGGTTTCGGGTTTAAAGCCTAGGGTTTAGGGTTTAGGGTTTAGGGTTTAGGGTTTAGGGTTTAGGGTTTAGGGTTTAGGGTTTAGGGTTTAGGGTTTTGGAAAGAGAGACCCGGGAGGAGAGCTCAGGCCCTAACCCCAGAGCCCTCGGAGCCCCGAGCCCTAAACCCCTCCACCCAAAGAGCCCCTAGACTCCCCAAGCCCCTGAACTCCCTAAACCCTAAACCCTAAACCCTAAACCCTAAACCCTAAACCCTAAACCCTAAACCCTAAACCCTAAACCCTAAACCCTAAACCCTAAACCCTAAACCCAGAACCCTAAAGCCTACACACTAAAGCTTCAACCCTAAGCCCTAAACCTGAAACCCAAAGAACCCTTAGCCTCCCCCGTCTGAACTCTACAAACCCAAAAGCCCTAAATGGCCCTAAACCCTCAACCCCTAAACCCCAAACCCCAAACGCTAAACTCCAAACCCTAAACCCTAAACCCCAACCCCAACCCCCAAGCCCCAACTCTAAACCCTAAACCCCAACCCCAAGCCCCAAGCCCCAAACCCTAAACCCTAAACCCTAAACCCTAAACCCCAAACCCTAAACCCTAAACTCCAAACCCCAAACCCCAAACCCCAAACCCTAAACCCTAAACCCTCAACCCAAAACCCCAAACCCTAAGCCCTCCGTGGAGGTGGTGCCTGGCTGGGTCCCATGGCTGGGCGCGATCCTGTCCTGCCTCTGCCGGCCGGCTCAATGCCCTGAAGCCCTCAAACGATCTATGTTTGGGTTTGGGGTGTAGGGTGTAGGGTTTAGGGTTTAGGGTTCAGGACCCCCAAATCAGTCAACCCTAAGCCCTAGGAGCGTTTTCCGAAATCAAATGTCTTCTCGAGCTTTATGGGGGGGGGGGGAGAGGGCTGTGTTGGGAGTGGTATGGTTCAGGGTACCGCCTGCTCCAGGGTTTCGGGGGGTCATTGGTTTGAAAAGGGTAGTTGCGGTTTGAAAAGACTAGCTGCTGCAGCTGGTGCACGTCTCGTCTTGCCACATCCCCTACAGCCCAAAGCCTAGGCTCCTGAGATCCTGCACCTGGAGCCCCTTCAACCACCCTAAACCCTCAACCCTCAACCCTAAACCCTAAACCCTAAACCCTAAACCCTAAACCCTAAACCCTAAACCCTCAACCCTAAACCCTAATCCCTCAACCCTCAACCCTAAACCCTCAACCCTAAACCCTAAAGCCTACAAACCTGAGCACTGCGAACCTGAAGGCTCCACTATCACCTAAACATTCAGCCCTAGCACCTGGACCCTTTGGAACGGCTGCAGATTAGGGTTTAGGGCTTAGGGTTTAGGGTTTAGGGTTTAGGGTTTAGGGGGTACCATGAAGAGCTCTTGGAGCAACTGCAGTTCTGTCTTGCTCACACTTCTGCACATCTTCAGCCTAAGGCGCTGAACTGCGGCCAAGGTCCCAAAGATCAAGGGTTTAGGGTTTAGGGTTTAGGGTTTAGGGAAAGAAGGCTTTAGCGGCTCTGCCAACGCCCGAGGCCACATGGTTTGGATTCCCTAAGGCCCTAAACTCTAAATCCCTGCTCCCGAAACCCGAAAAACCCCAAACCCTAAACCCTAAACCCGAAACCCGAAACCCTAAACCCTAAACCCGAAACCCTAAACCCTAAACCCCCAATGCCGAGGCCACATGGTTTGGATTCTGATCATCCTTTACGTCTCCACCCCCGTCCTGGCCTCCGCGGAGCTTCCTGCAGCCCGGCTGAGGGCCCTGGAGTCTGCGGTTTCTGCGGTTTAGGGTTTAGGGTTTAGGGTTTAGGGTTTAGGGTTTAGGGATACCGGGTTTAGGGTTTAGGGCTTCGGGTTTTGGGTTTGGTTTGGGGTTTAGGGTTTCGGGTTATGCGTAGTCGGAGGAATGATACCTCAAAAGCATACGGATAGTCTCACCCGAAGCCCTTTAAAACCCTAAACCCTTACACCCAACCCTTAACCTTTCTGTTGTGGCGTGTATATAGAAGCAAGTTTGACAGAGTTGTGTGTTGCCGTCACTCGATTTTCTCTCAGAACGTTGCGTTAGCGAAGAGCAGGTCTAGGGTTCAGGGGAGGCTTCTTGCGTAGTTGGGGAAACTGAAACCTAAGGCCCTAAACCCTTACACCCAAACCTAGCCCTAAACCCAGACGGTAAACCTCCCTAAACCCAAGCCCTAAACCCCAAACTCTACCCCTTAAACCCTCTAAACCCTAAACCAATACCACCTTCGTGTTTTTTTGGGTGAACCTCACCCTAAGCAACCTTGGGCCAGGAGGGGTTGGGTCCCAGGCTTTGGAAAGTTTAGGAGCGCAAGGGCACTCCCAGACCTAGCCTGCCCCAAAACTCTAGACGTAAAGCCTTTCAGGGTTTGGTGTAGGGTTTAGGGTTTAGGGTTTAGGGTTTAGGGTTTAGGGTTTAGGGTTTAGGGTTTAGGGTTTAGGGCGTATCGGTCAGGTGGCCTTCCGATCAGCCATCTACTTGGACGTGCCGCTCGTGCCGGTGTGTTGGAGTGCGCAACCGAAGCCACCCGAAGCCGCCCGAAGCCACCCGAACCGAAGCCACCCGAAGCCACCCGAAGCCACCCGAAGCCACCCGAAGCCACCCGAAGCCACCCGAACCCTAAACCCTAAACCCTAAACCCCAAACCCTACACCCTAAACCACTAAACCCTACACCCGAAATCTTCGGGTCGGGGGGAGTTCCTGGGATCCCATCATGAGGAGCTTGGCTAGAGCAGCCCGGGACACAGTGGTGGCGCCCCTGGCCATCCTTCCTTTTTTGTAAAAAAGCTCCCACGGTTCAGGGTTTAGGGTCTAGGGTTTAGGGTTTAGGGTTAGAGTACCATTCCCCGCTTGCTCTAAAACAGCTGAGATCTAAGAACAACCAACCCTCAACCCTAAACCGCAGCAACGATTCCCTAAGCTCCCTTGAGCCCCAAATTGCAGTGATTCGGTTGGAGGTTGAAAGCCGTAGAGGCCCTAAACCCTAAACGCTAAACCCTAAACCGTAAACCCTAAACCCTAAACCCTAAACCCTAAACCCCAAACCCCTAAACCCCAAACCCCTAAACCCCTAAACCTTAAACCCGAAACCCTAAGGCTTCAAGCCTCAGGAGCCCCAAAGCCCGAAGGCCCAAGGCCGACGCCTCAACCTTGGGCCTTGAATTCTGATGAACCCTAAGCCCTCAAGAGCAGCCTCAAGCACCCTACGCCCTAAACCAACTTGCCATCTCATGGGCTAACTTACCCTAAACCCTAAACCCTAAACCCTGCACCCTAAACCCTAAACCCTAGACCCTAAACCCTAAACGCTAAACCCTAAACCCTAAGCCTTAATCCCGAACCCCTGAACCCTAAACCCTAAACTGAGGTTCGGCTGGCACAGCAAGTACTTCAAGCCGTCCCTGGTGCCTCGGACGGTGCTTGCGGGGGGTTTGGGGTTTAGAGTTTGGGGTTTAGGGTTTGGGGTCTAGGGTTTAGGGTTTGGGGTTTAGGGTTTGGGGTTCATGTTTGGGGTTTAGGGTTTAGGGTTTGGGGTGTAGGTTTGAGGGAATTAGGGTCCCTCAGCCTCTCAACCCACTGTCCCTGCCCATTCCGCCAGGTCCACAACGCCAACGGGGACATCAATCATTGGGAGGCCGCAGCCTTGAAGACATCTCGGGGTTCACGTTTTAGGGTTTAGGGTTTAGGCCTTGGGGTTTAGGATTGAGGGTTTAGGGGATTAGGATTAAGGGCTCAGGAGATATTTTCTGGGTTTAGGGTTGAAGGTTAGCCGGTTCTGTCACAGCATCCACCAGCTGGGAACTCCCCACCCGGAAAACTGTCTAGCCGTCTGCCCAAACCCTGAGAGTTTGGGGTTGCAGGGCTGAGGGTTCTGGAGTTCGGCAGCTACTTCTCCTGTCGGAACACGGGCAGTCAACATGAGGGTTTTGGAGTTTAGGGGTTTAGGGGTTTAGGGGTTTCGGGGTTTAGGGTTTAGGGTTTAGGGTTTAGGGTTCTGCTTGTTTGGGGGGGGAGGAGGGGGAGGAGAGAGGTTCTGGGGTCTGACTTGACCTAGGTGGACACCATGCAGTCGCCGAGAGCAGCAAACCTGGAGCAGGCGGTCGGGCTGCTCCCTCTCTCTCCTTTCTCCCTCTCTCTCTTTTCTCCTTCTCTCTCTTCTTCTCTCTCTCTCTCTTTTCTCTTTCTCTCTCTTCTTCTCTTTCTCTCTCTTGTCTTTGTCTCTCTTCTTCTCTCTCTCTCTCTCTTTTCTCTCTCTCTCTCTGTTTCTTCTCTCGCTCTCTCTCCTTCTCTCTCTCTCTCCTCTGTCTCTCTCTCCTCTCTCGCCCTGTTTGCGTCTTCGGAGTCCACGGCTCCACTGCGGGCTCCTGGCCCTAGATCCTAAACCCTACATTCTGAAACCCCCCAACGCAGGATGCATGAAGGGAGTCTAATTAGGCACGCAGCTTCGGAGGTTTCAGGGGTGTCTGCAGTTTACATATTATATATATATATACACATGCATACATCTATATATATATATACTGTGTGTATATATATATATATATTATATGTATAAGAGGGATTCTCGGTCTCTCGCTACTCTAGACTCTAGGGTTTGGGGTTTAGGGTTTCGGTTTCGGGGCTCGGGGTTCAGGGTTCAGAAGGCCGTAAAGCCAGAAGCCCTACAACCCTGAACGAAGCCCTGAAACCCAAGGCCTCCTACCCAAGACCTTGCACCCACAGGGTATAGGGTATAGGGTTCAGGGTTTAGGGTATAGGGTTTAGGGTTTAGGGTATAGGGTATAGGGTTTAGGGTTTAGAAATTTGGCTTCTTTAGAGTCCGGGGGTTGCCCTTATTTCATCCTATATTCAAACCTCACCCAAAAGCCCTGAAACCTAAACTCCTCAATCCACTCCCAAACCCCAAACCCCCAAACCCCAAAGTACCAACACACAACACACTCAAGCCCTGGAACCCTAGAACCCTGCCTTGAAACCCTAGAACCCTGCCTTAACATACAGCCCAAACACCCTAAACCCTAAACCCTCAGCCCTAAACCCTAAGCCCTGAACCCTAAACCCCAAAACCCTGGAACCCTAGAAGCCCTAAAGCCCTGAAGCCACAAGCCACTAAAGCTCCAAACCCAAACCCCAAACTCCGAGCCCCGAAAGCTGAACCGTAAACCCGAAACCCTAAACCCTAAACCCTAAACCCTAAACCCTAAACCCTAAACCCTAAACCCTAAACCCTAAACCCTAAACCCTAAACCCTAAACCCTAAACCCTAAACCTAAACCCAAAACCCTAAACCCTAAACCCTAAACCCTAACCCTAAACCCTAAACCCAAACCCTAACCCTAAACCATAAAAACCCTAAACCCTAAAACTCTAACACTCTAAAACTAAACCCCCATCCCCCACCCCCCCCCCCCCCCCCCCCCCCCAAAAGCTCTTCGGCCTCGTGCAGCGAGGACGACCAGCGCCGGGTCTTCGTGACCTTCAAGGCCTTGGGAGTTTAGGGTTTGGGAGTTTAGGGTTTAGGCTTGGGGTTTAGGGGTTAGGGTTTGGTGTGTAGGGGTTTAAAGGTTTAGGGTTTAGGGTTTAGGGGCTGAGGGGCTTAGGGCTTAGGGCTTAGGGTTTAGGGTTTATGGTTTCAGGGTTTCAGGGAGCACAGGGTTAGGGGTTTTGGGTCGAGGAATTGAGGAGGGAGGAGTTCCCCGAACTATGCTCCCTAATCAAACTTACGCCCCGACAAGCCTTAACAAAGCCCCAAACCCTACAACCTGAACCTTCGTTGCTCTTAAGTAGAGTATCCTAACATGAACATGCCAAACTCCCAACTCAAAGTTGAGGGCGTGGGTTGGGGTGAAGCAGCTTCGTTTCGATACTAAACCGTAAACCCTAAACCCAAAACCCAAAACCCAAAACCCTAAACCCTAAACCCTAAACCCCTAAACCCTAAACCCTAAACCCTAAACCCTAAACCCTACACCCTAAACCCTAAACCCTAAACCCTAAAACCCTAAGCCCTAAACCCTAAACCTGTACTACTTGCACTCCTGACCACGTCTTCATGGGAGGGGCGTGGGGAGGAGGCTCGGGCCCAATGCCTTTTCAGGGGCTCGCGGCTTGGGGCGACGCAGGGGGGTTCAGCCAAAAAAGTTGCCCAAAAGGGTTTAGGGTTTAGGGTTTTAGGGTTTAGGGTTTAGGGCTTTAGGGTTTTAGGGTTTAGGGTTTTAGGGCTTTAGGGTTTAGGGTTTAGTGTGCAAGCTTTACCTCTGGTATGCACAGACTTCTTAGCTCTCTCTTGGTGCTGGTTTTTCCGAGACCGCGCGTCCTTTGAACCTTCAACCCCAAGCCCTAAATCCAATGTGCAGCCTCACACCTGCATATCGGGTTTGAGGGTTTACGGAGAGAACCTACGCAAACCCTCAACCCTGAGCCTTTCAACCCCCAACCTCTACAAGGGACCCCTAAATCGAAAACCCCCTAAACCCTAAACCCTAAACCCTAAACCCAAAACCATAAACCCTAAACCCTAAACCCTAAACCCTAAACCCTAAACCCTAAACCCTTAGCCCTAATCAGGAGGGCAAGCGCCTTCTCAAGAATCTCACCAAGCTCACGAAGCCAGATGTCTGTCACTGGGCATTAAGCCTGGCGGGATGGGGGTTGGGAGTTTGGGGTTTAGGGTTTTAGGGTTTGGGGTTTAGGGTTCAGGGTTTAGGGTGGAGGGCCCAGGGGCTTTAGTGTGTTCGGGACTCGCGCTCTCTTTGTGGTTGGTGCCGCCATGTTGGCAGGCTCATCAGTTGGGGTTGTCGAGATTATTAGCGGCTGTAAGCCTCAAGCTCTACGTCCCCAGTTTAGATCCGCCCAAAAACCTAGAGCCTTCTCTTGGTGTAAAGCCTAAACGCTAAACCCCAAGCCCTAAACCCCAAACCCCAAACCCCAAACCCCAAACCCCAAACCCCAAATCCCAAACCCCAAACCCTAAACCCTAATCCTCTATTTGGGGTGTGGGGGGGTCGGGGGCAGCTTCTGCAAGGCAAGCACTTCCGGGATGAGGACCCGCTCGCTTGCGTTTCAGGGTTCAGGGATCCTAAGGTTTCAGGGTTGTGGCTTGGGGGGCCTGGGCTTTAAGGTTTAGGGTTTAGGGTTTAGGGCTCAGGGGTCGAGCGCTTCGGGTTTTGGGCCTGGGAGGGTTGATGTTTTCGGATTTTGAAGGTTTCGAGCTGAGGGGTTCGGGGCCAGTTTTTCGGGGTTTAGGGTTTAGGGTTTCGGGGTGTGGGGGGGCTTAGAGCTGGATGTACTCAAGCCGCGGGCGGGGGGGAGGGGGAGGCATGCCCAATGCGAACGTGTGGGTTTAGGGTTTAGGGTTTGGGGGTTTAGGGTTTCATTAGGGGGTTGGCTCCATGATGCTTGTACTTCAGAAAGGATTAGAAGGATGAGGACATAGTCTTGTGTTGTCGTTTAGGCTCCTGAACCCTAAGCCCCAAACCCTAAACCCTGCTCCTGTGGTGGCTTGAGATATTTGTGCCTTTTCGGGGTTTGGGGATGTTTAGTTATTTGTTTGTTTATTTGTAGTCATATTTATATTTATATTCATATTTATATTTATATTTAATATTATATTTATATTTGCATGTTTTGTTGATGTTTTTTTGTTTTTGTTGTTTTTTCCTTTTGTGTTATTGGGAGCTTCGGGGCTTGGGGTGTTTTTTAATTTTTGGGTCTTCCTGACCGGTGTTGGAGGTGCGCTTCGCTGCACCGCCCAAAGCCTGAATCTTTAACCCTAAGCCCTGAGCCCTGAGCCCTAAACCCTAAACCCTAAACCCGAAACCCTAAACCCTAAACCCTAAACCCTAAACCCTAAACCCCAAACCCCGACCTGCTGCAAGGACAAGCGCCTGGCCCGCGAGCTGCAGGAAATCCTCGAGGAGCTCCTCAAGGAGACCCGGGGCCGCGAGCTTTCGCGCAGGGCTTGGGGATCGGCGCTGTGGGGGGGTTTAGGGTTTAGGGTTTAGGGTTTAGGGTTTAGGGACAAGGTTGAGGGGGACCCTAAAACCCTAAAACCCTAAAACCCTAAAACCCTAAAACCCTAAAACCCTAAAACCCTAAAACCCTAAAACCCTAAAACCCTAAAACCCTGAAGCCTAAACCCTGAAGCCAAAAACCCTCAATTCCCCAAACCCCAAAACCCTACAACCCTCAACCAGCCATCCTGAGCCCGAGGCCCGAAACACCCAAACCCCGAAACCCTTAAACCTGCCAGGCTTCGGGAGCGTAGGGTTTAGGGTTTAGGGTTTAGGGTTTAGGGTTTAGGGTTTAGGGTTTAGGGTTTAGGGTTTAGGGTTAGGGTCAAAGCCTCCTAAAGCCTCCTAGACCCGAAGCCCCAAAAGGAGCTCGAGACGCAGCTCTCCATGCCGTGGCCCAGCCGCGCGTGGAAGTCAAGCTCTGAACCCCTACATCCCACAACCCCTTTGTGCTAGTTTTTGTAGGAGGTTTGTATGACAAGAAGAATAAGGGGATGTCTGCGCTTTTTATGTCAGCATCTTAGTCTTGAATTGTACGATGATACTGTTAGTTTTTTTTATATCAATGTGTTGTTAGATTTTGTTGTCATGTTGTCATATTGGCATACTGTTGCATTGGTATATTAGGGCTGCACTGGCATGTAGAGAAACGGCCGGAGGCTGTGCTGCTCATGTGTCCAGATCGACGGTGCCAGGTCCCTACACCCAAGCCCCATAAACCCCACAATAAACCCCGAAACCCTAGAGCCGTAATTCCGGAACACTAAACCCTAAACCCTAAACCCTAAACCCTAAACCCTAAACCCTAAACCCTAAACCCTAAACCCTAAACCCTAAACCCTAAACCCTAAACCCTAAACCCTAAACCCTAGACCCTAAAGGCCCCTGGAAAACTCATTTAAGCCCCGAAGCCCAGTCAAGTCCAAGGTGGAGCCGGCAACCTGAGCGCCAGACGTCGGAGGGATGGAGCAGCGGCCCGGCAAGAAAAAGTCGTCCGGGGGATCCTCGAACAGTTTCCTGTTCAACGGGATGTTGGGGAGTCTAGGGTTTGGGGGTGTTTAGGCTTTAGGGTTTGGGGTTTGGGGTTTTGGGGTTTAGGGTTTAGGGTTTGGGGTTTTAGGGTTTAGGGTTTAAGGGGTTTTGGGTTTGGGGGTTTAGGGGTTTAGGGGTTTAGAGTTTAGGGTTTAGGGCTTGGGGTTTAGGGTTTGCCGTGATACTGCCACGGGCCGCTTTTGGCCATAGCTCCCTCCTGGCATACTTCAGCTGTTGTTGTCCGAGAGGTCGTAGTATCAGATTATTTCATTGTGTGCTTGTATCATTGTATTGTGTTATGTCATTTGTTATGTTATTTTGATGAATTTTCTGGTATATACTTGAGTGAGTCTCTTTGGAAGATAAAGCGGGGGAGGGGGGTGCAGGGTTTAGGGTCTAGCGTTTTACTTTGAAAGCCCTTAAACCTTGAGTTCTAAACGCCGAAACCTTAGATAAGCCCCAGGCTCTGAAGCTTGCAAGCCCGAAATCTTGGATGACACCTTACACCCCTGAACCCTAATCCTGAAGAATAAGGGCCCATCAAGAGACTGTTAGAGTCCTACCCTGAGCCCTAAGCCCTAACCCTAAACGCTAAACGCTAAACCCTAAACCCTAAACCCGAAACCTACGAAGAGTTCAGCCGAGGACAGTCCTCCCCTTTCGGGGCATCGTGGCTCCAGAGCCAACGGGGCTGGAACGAGCAACTTTTCCCTAAACCCTAAACCCTAAACCCTAAACCCTAAACCCTAAACCCTAAACCCTAAACCCTAAACCCTAAACCCTAAACCCTAAACCCTGAACCCTAAACCCTAAACCCTAAACCCTAAACCCTAAACCCCAAACCCTAAAACCTAAACCCTAAGCCCTAAACCCTACGCCCTAAACCCCTACACCCTAGAATGCCCCCGCCAAAACCCACCAACCATAGCATCCTTTCTTGAACCTGTATCATGGGTTTCCCTACTACCCGCCTCTATACTACCTTTAGGGTTTAGAATGTAGGGGGGTAGTAAGAGGGGGGGTAGTAGGGGAACCCATGACCATAAGCCCTAATTTGAAGGGTTCAGGGTGCTTAGGGTTTAGATAGGGGTCTTCGGGCTAGGTTTAGGGTTTTGGGGTTTAGGGTTTAGAGTTCAGGGTTCAGGGTTTAGGGTTTAGGGGGTTCAGGGCTTAGGGTGGTTCAGAGTTAAGCGGGTTGGCTGTCCGTCAGAAAGGAAGTCCTATGGCATCCTTCCACAAAAGGGAACCGCAGGGAAACAGCGGGACTCGAGTAGGAACTGGCTAGTAGCCCTGAACCCTACACCCTACACCCTAAGCCCTATCTAAACCCTAAACCCTAAACCTTAAACCCTAAACCCTAAACCCTAAACCCTAAACCCTAATCCCCAAACCCTAAACCCTCAACCCTAAACCCAAAGCCCTAACCCTGGGCCCTGAATGTGCCCGGGGTTCCCTGGTTGGGGGTGAAAGGGCCCCCAGGTTGCTGAGGAACCCCAAGTTCGGTTCAGGGTTTAGGGTTTAGGGTTTAGGGTTTAGGGTTTAGGGTTTAGGGTTTAGGGTTTAGGGCTTAGGGCTTAGGGCTTAGGGCTTTTAGGGTTTAGGGTTTAGGGTTCAGGGTTTCGTGGTTTAGGTAGGGTGCAGGGTTTAGGGTTTAGGGCGATGAGCTAGCGCGCTTTGGGTCCAGGGTTTAGGAGTGAGATGTTTAGGGTTCAGAGGCTTCAGGGTTTAGGATTCAGGGGTTTAGGGTTTAGGGTTTAGGGTTTAGGGTTTAGGATTCAGGGGTTTAGGGTTCAGGATTCAGGGCTTAGGGTCGGGGGGGAGGGGTTTTAAGGTCTAGAGTTTAGGGTGTTGGATTGATGGGTTTTAGGATTGAGGGGTTTACTGGTTGGGGATTTACGGCTCATCTGTCCCACCTCCGAGGCAGACAGCCCTAAAACACTCAAAACCCAAGGTTTAGGGCTTAGGGTTTACGGTTTAGGGTTTAGGGTTTCAGGGTTTTACGGTTTTAGGGTTTTAGGTCGTTGGGGTTCTAGTTCTAGGGTTCTCTAGGGATTTAGGGTTTCGGGGTTTTGAGGGTTTTAGGGTTGTAATTGGGGTTTTACTTACCCTAAACCCTAAACCCTAAACCCTAAACCCTAAACCCTAAACCCTAAACCCTAAAAAACCCGAAACCCTAAACCCGAAACCCCAAACCCAAAACCCTAAACCCTAAACCGTAAACCCTAAGCCCTAAACCTTGGGTTTTGAGGGGTTTCGGGCTGTCTGCCTCGGAGGTGGGACAGATGATGGCAGCGGCCACCTGATCCCTTACTGGATCGACTGCAGTAGCGGCCTGACCGTCTGGCTCCTCGACAGGAGCCGTAGTTACCCTCAACCCTAAACCCGAAACCCTAAACCCTAACACCCCTCTTCCTTCAAGGCCCTCACAGGGCTTCTTGTGGTGTTTTGAATGCCCGACCTGGTTTAGGGTTTAGGGTTTACGGTTTAGGGTTTAGGGTTACCGGCTGAACCCGAAACCCTGAAACTCAAACTTGGGGTTTAGGATTGAGGGTTTGGGGTTTTAGGGTTTAGGGTTTAAAGTTTAGGGTTTAGGGAAACTTTGGGGTTTAGGATTTAGGGTTTGGGGTTATTCGGTTTAGGGTTGCTTTGTGTCAACGCCGCGCGGGCCGTGTGCTAGCGCGCACTGGCGCCCTCTCTGAGCCAGCCAGGGTGCGATTTGTGGCAGGATAGACTACGTGGGGCCCTGTGATGCCTCGCCCGGGGGTAGTGGTCCATACTTCGGGGTACTGCCCTCATGCTGTGATCTCTAAGAAGTAGATGCATGCATGCCTCGGTGTCTACCCTCAATGATGACTGGCTCTTTGTGTGCAGAGCCAACATCGCACTATGCGGCGTGAACCCTAAACCCTAAACCCTAAACCCTAAACCCTAAAACCCTAAACCCTAAACCCTAAACCCTAAACCCTAAACCCTAAACCCTAAACCCTAAACCCTAAACCCTAAACCCTAAACCCTAAACCCTAAACCCTAAAACCTAAACCCTAAGGTGTAGCTTAGCATCTTCCCTGCTCTCAGGTCAAGACCAGATGGGCACATCCTTGACTTGGTTCGCCGCTTGTTTTCTGATCCTGCAGGGCTTTTGGTGTTCGAGGCTTGCTTTCGAGCTCTTAAGGGGCTACGTGCCATATGCCCCCCCCCCCCCCCTAACCCTTTCAAGGATCTATGTGGGACCGCAATAGCCGCCATTCTAGCCATTCTAGCCATTCCCATTCCTACTTCCCGACTGGCCGGCGGTAAAGCGCGTGAAGCTTATTCTCAGACCCAAAGACGGCTGTTAAGCCCTAAACCCTAAGCCTAAACTCTAAACCCTCATCCCTAACCCCGAAACCCTGAACCCTAAACCCTAAACCCCAAATCCTAGAAAAAACAGGGCCTTACCCCGCGAGGCCTTGGGCAATCCGTCGAGGAACTTCAAGACAAGGTGAGCTCCACCGCAGACAAGACGGACCGATCGCCGGGTTCGGGGGATTCAGGGTTTAGGGTTTAGGGTTCAGGGTTGAGGGTTGAGGGTTTAGGGTTTAGGGTTTAGGGTTCAGGGTTTAGGGTTCAGGGTTGAGGGTTTAGGGTTTAGGGTTTAGGGGCTTTTCGCATCTTCTTTTTGGGGGGGTGGGCCGGGGCACAGGGAAGCCCTAAACCCCAAGCCCTAGCCCTGGACCCGAAACCCGACAGCAGGGTTCACTGGGGTTGGGCCTCAGGCTGCCGATGGGCTACTTCGGCACGAAGCCCTAAGCCTTAAGCCTTAAGCCTTAAGCCTTAAGCCCTAAGCCCTAAGCCCAAAGCCCTAAGCCCTAAGCCCTAAACCCTCAACCCTAAACCCAAAACCCTAAACCCTAATCCCTAAACCCTAAACCCTAAACCCCAGGACAGGCACCTGGACGGGACCGGCCCCTTTAACTATCGCGTCTCTTTGAGGCCCTAAGCTTTCAGGAGGAGTATACGATGATCGAGACCCAAGAAGAGGGGCTAGAGTTCTCCTAAAAACTTTAACCCCAAACCCCAAACCCTAAACCCTGAACCCTAAACCCTAAATCCTAAACCCTAACCATAAACCCTCAACCCTGAACTGCACAGGACCACCTGGTAGCGGCCGAGGCGCTCCCTTTCGAGCTCATGCCGGTGTACCCGGCGCCTTGGCCGCGGGTTTCGGGTTTCGCTTTTCGCTTTTTTGGGGGTTTGGATAGCGTTTAGGGTTTAGTGTTTAGGGTTTTCGGGTTTAGGGTTTCGGGCTTAATTCGGGTTCAGGGTTCAGGGTGTAGGGTGTAGGGTTCAGGGTTTTAGGGTTTGCTTTGAGGAAGGATTACCAAAATTGAAAGAGGGCCTAAGGAATACTTCCAAACTGCGCTTACCCCTAAGCTCCGTTTTCCAAAGGAACTTGCGCGTTGTTTTTTATTTCAAGGGTTTTCGGGGTACAGGGTTTTGTTTGTCTGTGAAGAAAGGGTTTTCGGGGTACAGGGTTTAGGGTTTAGGGTTTAGGGTTTAGGGATGTTACGGGTAGCCCCAAATTCAATGCCAGGAGGTGCTTGGGATGTACGGCTTGAAGTTCAGGGCCGAGGGCCTAGCTGCTGTTTGGGCCTAAACCCTAAACCCTAAACCCTAAACCCTAAACCCTAAACCCTAAACCCTAAACCCCCTAAACCCTAAACCCTAAATTTAAGAGCCTCCGGCTCAAGCCGCCGACCCCGCTGGAGCATAGTTGAAAGGTCAGCCTGCACGGCAGAGTTCTGTGAAACGTTGGGGGGGGGGTGGCACCAGGACCCCAGAAGGCAGGAAAGAAAAGACAGTGGGGGGGGAGGGGGGGGGGGCAGGCGGGGGGGGGGGGGCGGGGGGGGGGTTGGGGGGGGGTTGTGTGGGTGTGTGGTCGGGGGGGGGTGGTAGGGGGGTTGGGGGGGGGGGGTGTCAGGAGGGTGAATTGGTGGGGGGGGGGGGTGGGGTATGGGGGGGGGGGGGGTGGGCCCAAAAAAAACGCTGATTTTGCTGAGGGCGCCCCTACCCCCTGTGCTGAACCGCCTGTTTACGCTGTGCGGGTGGCGCGGTCCTCCGCGAAAAAATTGTGCACCGACCCGCGTTTTAGGGGGGTAAGGAGGGAAAGAGGGAGGTTTTCACCTCCTTTTCCCATCCAACACGCCGCCAGGGTCGGCGGACCCTAAACCCTAAACCCTAAACCCCAAACCCCAAACCCTAAACCCTAAACCCTAAACATCTTTCGAGGACACGGATGTTAGCAGCTCCATCCTTCCCTGGAAGTGCCTCAAGCTGAGCTGCACGGCCCAGCTCGCAGCCCGGCCTCTGTCATTTTACTCTGGAGCCCCAAGGTTTAGGGTTTAGGGTTTAGGGTTTAGGGTTTAGGGTTTAGGGTTTGGGGTTTGGGGTTTGGGTTTTGTGCTGGTTTGAAGGCTTGGGCTCCCTGGTTTCGGGGATAATTGGGGCCCCTAAGCCCTGAGCAACCCTAAACTCTTACCCTAGGAGGGTTGGTAGTTGAGAGTTGCTGCGATCTGGGGTTACGAAGCCCTGAGGCCCTTTGGGGATGTGGGGTTGATGTCTTTAAGAAAGGTTTCAGGGTTCAGGGCCTTTAGGAGATCATAGGGTTTAGGGTGTAGCGTTTCAGGGGATTAAGAATCGTAGCTAAAAGTTCCCCTGAATCTACTCCTAAAAGGGCCCTTTTTCCACCAAAAGGATCTTTTGGTTTAGGGGTTTAGGGGTTTAAGGGGTTTAGGGGTTTAGGGGGTTTAGGGGTTTAGGCCTTTAGGGGTTTAGGGGTTTAGGGGTTTAGGTGTTTAGGGGTTTAGGTGTTTAGGGGTTTAGGGGTTTATGGGAAAGTAGGGATGCTCACTGTATGCCCTATAGTTGAAACCTGCACCCTTTCGGGCATATTCGTCTGCGTCGCGTGATGAGCCTTAGCAAAAGTACCGTAATGGGTTCAGCATGAAGGGGTTTAGAGCATAGGGTTCGGGGAGTCTTTTTCAGAAGGTTTAAGGGCCATCCCAGTGTTGAATCGGAGGTCATCTGGGTCGCTTCGCTGCTGACGGTCCTCCTCGATCCTGTCTACTACGACACGCCCATTGCACCCAGGGCGCGGGGCACGGGGAAGAGGGAGAGGGAGGGTGGGCCGAAACCCTAAACCCTAAACCCTAAACCCTAAACCCTAAACCCTAAACCCTAAACCCTAAACCCTAAACCCTCAAGACAAAATATATAGAAATTGTATGTGGTATCAAGTTATTTGTCTAAACAGCTGACAAGCCGAGTTTAAGTCTGAGGCCAAATGCTCAATTTACTTAAACCTCGCCCTCCCCCCTCCCCCCCTCCACCCCCTCTTATGTGGTATCATTCTGAATTTTCAAGTTATTTGTCTAATTCTGAATTTTCAAGTTATTTGTCTAAACTGAGAACAATTCCTCAATTTACTTAAACCTCCCCCCCCCCCCCCCCCCCCCCCCTCCCCCCTCCCCCCCCCCCTACCCCCCCCCCTCCGCCCCCCCGCCCCCCCCCCCTCCCCCCCCTCCCTCCCCCCCTCCCCCCCCCCTCCCCCTCCTGTATAGCAGCAACACCCCCCATCCCTCTCCCCCCCCCCCCCTTCTCCCTCTCCCTCTCCCACCTCTTCCCCACCCCCCTCCCTCCCCCCTCTCCCCCCCCTCTCCCCCCCTCCCCTTCCTCCCCCCTCCACCACCAGTTTTAAAAAATCGAAGCGTTGCGAAACGAACAGGGTTTAGGGTTTAGGGTTTAGGGTTTAGGGTTTAGGGGTTTGGGGTTTAGGGTTTAGGGTTTAGGGGTTTAGGGTTTGGGGTTTAGGGTTTAGGGTTTAGGGTTTAGGGTTTACGGTTTAGGGCTGCAAGAATATTAGCAGTGACAAAACAGTAAGGGTTTGGTTCAACGGGATCAAGAAAACTCGAATCGAGGGTTGAAAGTAGGCGAAACCCTACACCCTTACCCTAAAACCCAGTCTCCGAAGTCTACATCCCAAACCCTAAGCCCTAAACCCCAGACCCTGAACCCTAAACTCGAATTCCCGAACCCTGAACCCCCTTGAACGGGACCCGAGGCCTTCGCCCCTAAACCGCCGTAAGCCCTTGACCCCTAAAGCATCACACCTAAACCCTGGACCCAGAACCCGGAAAACGTAATCTTTGACAAGCCTAGGTCTTAAACCCCTAAATCCTACACCCAAAGCCCCAAACCCTAAGGACCCTAAAACCTACGGACCCTAGAACCTACGGACCCTAAACCCCAAACCCCAAACCCCAAACCCCAAACCCCAAACCCCAAACCCCAAACCCCAAACCCCAAACCCTAAACCCTAAACCCTAATCCCTAATCCCTCAACCCCAAACTCTAAATCTTGATCAGCAGTGACTGCTGTTTATGTTGCTGGTCGGAGTACCAAGCTTCTCACTTGTGTAGTGTGTATATATACTGACCGAAGACGGTTGTTCGAGGTCCCTATCTCTCTCTCTAAATCCTAAACCGTAAACCCTCATTCCTAAACCCTAAGCCCTAAACCCTAAGTACCCCAGGAGCTCTACGACCCTCGAGCGCTGACGAAGATGTCCACCGCACCCCGGCTCTGGGGCTCTTTCCCTTCGGGCTTTGGGGGGTTTAGGGTTTAGGGTTTAGGGTTTAGGGTTTAGGGTGTTTGGTTGAGTTTACGGTTTAGGGTCCAGGGTTCAGGGTTGCTGGTGGTTTAGGGTTGATGGTGGTTTAGGGGGTTTGGGTCGAACTGAAAGTTTTAGGAGGCCTGTGGTTCTTCCAAGCTTTCCTTGTTCGGGTGACCCCTCCCTCCGCACTCCTGCAGTAGGGAAGAACCCTAGACCCAAGACTGCAACACGCCAGACCCTAAACCCCAAACCCGAAACCCCAAACTACCCAAACCCCAAGCACCCCAAACATCAAACTTAAAAAACCTAGGCCCTAAACCCTGAACCGAAAACTTTAAAAGCCCTAAGCCCTAAACCCTAAGCCCTAAACAACTTTAAAAGCCCTATACCCTAAACCCCAAACCCCTAAACCCCCGAAAGCCCAAAACCCAGATCCAGCCTCGAGGCTTGGCCCCACAAGCGCTTCCGGCCCTCTGCCATCGCCTGCGCCGGCGACGACACCCTCTACATCGGAGACCAGCCTCTTGGGGAAAGGGGCTTTAGGGGTGCAAGAGGTAGGGGTGCAAAAGGGGGTTTAGGGTTTAGCTTGGGCCAAAGTCTAGGGTTTAGGGTTTAGGGTTTGGGGGTTGAGGGCTTTGGAGGGTTTAGGGGGTTTCAGAGGGTTTTCAAGGGTTTCTAGAATTTTCATAGAGGGTTCTAGATGGCTTCTTCTGTTTTTTTTTGGGGGGGGGGGGGTTTTGGATGGTTTAAGGGGGTTTGGAGCGTTGAGAGGGTTTAGGGTGGTACCCAGAGAATGGAATCCGAAAGCGCAGGATGCTTTACAGCGCAGGATGTATAGGGTTCTTAGTGGACAGCGGGTTCGTGGGGGGTACCTGGGGAAGCTTAGGGAGCCTTAGGGAGTAGTAGGGGGAACCCGATGAAGGACCCTATGCGTCCCAACCCTGATTTGAGCTACTTTGTTTCGGCCACATTTTGGGCAGGGGAATAGTCCGGGTCGGTGAGTATCAGGTAGGTAAAAATCTTTAGATGCACACATGGCAAGTCAAACTCGGGGCTGCGTCCCCACCCTAACCCTTAAATAATCACCCCCAAATCCCCAAGCCCGAAACCCTAAACCCTAAACCCAGGTTTCAAGCTCTGGATCTGGGCCAGGGTTCAGGGTTCCGGGTTCGGGGTTCCGGGTTCAGGGTTTAGGGTTCTTAGGGGTTTAGGGTTTAGGGTTTGGGGTTTGGGGTTTGGGGTTAGAGTTTCCTGAAGCCCTAACCCTTGAATCACGAATCCCTGAGCCAGAAACACCCAGCTCCCTGAGGTTCGCTGTCTATGCCGCGGACATCTACTGGACGGGCGAGAAGATCGAGGTGCACAGCGCGGACACCCACACCAGGCCGGGAATCTCTCATGGGGTTTGGGGACCCCCAAGGTGGTTTAGGGTTTAGGGTTTAGGGTTTAGGGTTTAGGGTTTAGGGTTTAGGGTTTAGGGTTTAGGGTTTAGAGTTTAGGGTTTATGGCCTAGGGTTTAGGGTTAGGGGTCGGAAGAATTACTAATGATATTCCCTTATGGTCCCTTGATAACTATTCTTTAGGCCCCGATAGTACCCTTGTGTTTTTAAGGAGCCTCTAGGGCCATATTGGGAGTATGTTAAGGGAGACGTTTTGGGGGTACGACCTCAGGGGTGCGAGTCTGAATCCCTTGAAATCGAGACTCTTAGGGCCCCTAAACCCTAAACCCTAAACCCTAAACCCTAAACCCTAAACCCTAAACCCTAAACCCTAAACCCTAAACCCTAAACCCTAAACCCTAAACCCTAAACCCTAAACCCTAAACCCTAAACCCTAACACCTAAACCCTAAACCCTAAACCCTAAACCCTAAACCCTAACCCTAACCCTAAACCTAAACCCTAAACCCTAAACCCTCAACCACCCTCAACCCTAAACCCTAAAACCCTAAACCCTAACACCCTCAACCCTCAACCCTCAACCCTCAACCCTCAACCCTCAAACCCTAAACCCTAAACCCTACACCCTACACCCTAAACCCTAAACCCTAAACCCTAAACCCTAAACTCTCTTCACTGGGGACTCCTCTACAAGCCAAGGGCCCATACGTCAAGGGACCAGGTAACTACGCTTGGGAGTTCCACAGGGTATTACTTGGAGGTTCATGGTACTGACTAACCAGTTATAATTGTACTTATAACAATATCAGGGCACTTCAGGGGCTTACAAGTACAGTTATAACTGCAGTTATAACTGGTTAATAAGTGCCATGAACCTCCAAGTAGGATAAAAGGTTCCTTCCAGTGAGGCCCTTAAGTTCCACTCCCTTTTAATGAAGCACCCCAGTATCATGCTTTTTTTCGCTTAGAGTATATTGTAGCATACCGGTAAAGAGGTGATCTTAGAGGCGAGGGTTAGCATGAGGGGGAGGGGGGTATTTGGCCCCAAGCCCAAAACCCCAAACCCTCAAACCCTCAAACCCCCAAACCCTCAAACCACCAAACCCTCAAACCCTCAAACCCTCAAACCCCCAAACCCTCAAACCACCAAACCCTCAAACCCTCAAACCCTAAACCCCAAATTCTAAACCCTAAACCCTAAACCTTAAACCTTAAACCTTAAAATCTAGAATTTCTATGCGGATTGGGCTCTTAGCGCTTAGGATGCTTGGCTAAGGACCTTCAGGGCAGTAGGGCGGCTGTCGGGCTTCGGTGGTTCAAGGGATTCAAGGTTTAGGGTTTAGGGTTTAGGGTTCAGGGTTTAGGGTTTAGGGCTACGGGCTCAAGGTTTAGGGTTTCATGCTTTAGTCTAGGCTGTCAGGGATGAGGCGAAGCTCTGTAGGGCACAGGGCTTCGGGTTTCCTTCGGGTTTCGGGTTTAGGGTTTAGGGTTTAGGGTTTAGGGTTTAGGGTTTAGGTTTTAGGGTTTAGGGTATCCAAGCACCCCTAGGACATGAGGGGATCAGGTTCGGGCCCTTGAACCTCTCAGCGGACCTCTAAAGACCCTAAAGCACCCCGAAGCACCAAACCCGAAACCCTAAACCCTAAACCCTAAACCCTAAACCCTGAACCCTAAACCCTGAACCCTAAACCCTAAACCCTAAACCCTAAACCTTAAACCGTAAACCCTAAACCCTAAACCCTAAACCCTAAACCCTAAACCCTAAACCTTAAATTCTAAACCCTAAGCCCTAAGCCCTAAGCCCTAAGCCCTAAGCCCTAAACCCTAAACCCTATGTCGAGGAGCGCCCGGATGCGTCACGCCCTGCACGACCGGCTCGTGGCCACAGTCGGAGCCACGGAGACTTTGCCTCCTGGCAGTTCGGGGTGTCGGGCATAGGGGGTTTAGGGTTTAGGGTTTAGGGTTTAGGGTAGCCTCAGGGCATAGTGTCCAGGGTTTAGGGTAGCCTGAGGGTGTAAGGTTTGGGGTTTGGGGAAATCAGAGGGTTTACGCTTTAGGGTAACGTTAGGGCTTAGGGTCACAGGAGGCTGATAGGCTTAGCGGGGGTTCTTTGTGGGGCCTCCTAGGGGTTCTAGAGAGCTTGTGGACAACAGGGTTTTTTTCGTGGGCTTGCTGGTTTTTTTGGGGGATTGCGGGGGGCTCCCCCTCAGCCCTTTAGCCCTAAACGGCCTTTGTCCTGGATCGTGAGGATGGACACCAGCTCCCTGTAGGAGTCTCACTTCGGGGGTATACGTGGAGCTTCCGTCCGATGCTCCGACATGCCGGGGTTCCGACTCCGATACTACGGATTGTAGTGTTGGGGAGTTTGTTAAGGGCACCCCCGCCCCCCCCGAAAGCGATAGCACCTAAGCCAAACCCCAAACCCGTAGGCCTCAAACCTGAAAATCTCAAGCCCTAAACCTGCTGTACTGTAAAGCATGTAGACGCTGCCCTGGCTCAGTGAGACGTTCGCCTTGAGTGCGACCATTGCGGCTTGCACGACTTTCTGTGTACGTGCTCGATGGAGGCCAGAACGATCTCGAAAACACTGTCTTCAAAACGGTGGTCCATTGACAGGGCGCGACGGGACGCTCCAGCTTCGCTCAGTGCTCGTTGCCTTGCCGGCATTGCACCAAGTTCAAGCGATGGGGCGCGGGACGTACTACGTACTGGCACCTACACGTGCTTGTGACGTGCTTGCGCGACCTTGATTGCGAACAGTCTTTCGAGGCCAGCGAAGCTAGTTTGAACCCCTTCACCCGCAAACACTAAATCCTAAAGTCGGCCCGAAGCCCTCAACACCCTAAAAAGACCCTAAACCCTGCAACCTGAAACCCTGAAGCCCTAAACCTCTAAAACCCTCAAACCCCTAAACCCCGAGCCCAAAACCCCAAACCCAAACCCTAAAGCCCTGAAGACCCTAAACCGTAAACCCTAAACCCCTAAACCCTAAACCCCAAACCCGAAACTCTCAAATCCTAAACCCAAACCCCAAACCTCAAACCCTAAACCCTAAACCCCAAACCCCAAACCCTGAACGTCTAAATTTCAGGCCTAGCGGCACGGGCCGGCCCCCGCCCCCCAAAGCACGAAACCTTGAACCTTGGCACTGTCTTCTCTTTCCCGTGTCTTTGTCCTCTCCTTCTCTCTGTCTCTCTTTCTCCTGCCTTCGCCCCCCCTCCCCCCCCCCCCCCCCCCCCCCCCCCCCCCCCCCCCCCTCCCCCCCCGGCGCGCGCGCGCGCGCGCGCCGCGCGCGCGCGCGCGCACCCGCATCAGGAGCATCAGTGGGGTTGGTTTGGGGGCCTTAAAAGCATTCTATGCATGCGTTTTGCCTTCGAAAAACCTTCAGAAAACGCTGTAAACACGTGTTTTTGGGCTTGGGAAGCCTTTTGGGACCCAGGAAAGGGAGCATCATGAGCATCAGCGGCCTCCCCCAGGCCATCCAAAACCCCCTTAAACACGCCGATTGTATGTGCTTGAACGCTTGCGTGCCCACGAAACCCCCAAAAGCAAGACCCCGAATGCCCTTAAGGGCATTCGGGGTCCTGCTGTTCGGGTGTTTTGTAGGCACGAAGCCGTTCGAGCGCGTAAAATGAGCGATTTTAGGGGCGTTTTTACGTGGACCCACAAAACACTCGGTATTTACGAGGTTTTCTGCTGTTGGAACACCCCCCCAAACCGAGCATCATGAGCATCAGCTGGGTCTCTGGGCCGTGGGCCCGGACCCCCCCACGAAGCCCAAGAGAAGCGATGGCTCGATGATGCGCCCGGACCCCGCGCATCAGCAGCATCAGCAGACCCCCCCCCGGACGTGGGTTTCGATGATGCGCACTTTGGGGGCGGGTCAAGGGCAACAGGGGTGGGGGTCGGAGGCACGCGTGAAAAACCTCATAAAAAGACGGTATTTACGGTGATTTCAGCGTTTTTCAGCATTTTTTATTGCCTTGGGCCCGCGGGCCAGGGCTGCTGATGCTCATGATGCTCGCCTGGTTTTGGGCTTCCGGTACCCCCCCCAAACCTTGAAAAACGTGGTTTCGGCCTGGCGCGCGCCCCATGTGAAAAGCTAGGGCCGATGATGCGCGCCCGTGAGGGTTTAATGGGGTGCTGCGGGTGTTTTGTGGCCTCGGTTTTTCGTAAAAACCCATGGTTTTTACGAGGTTTTCGTGCTTTTCGCACCACCGCGTGTTGCGTCCCCTTGGATGCCGTTTTGGAGGCCTCCCGAAGGGCCCCGCGCGAATTTGAAGCAATTTTGGGCGGGGTCGGCGGCTCGGGCGCTCGCCCCTTAAAGCTAGCGCTTTAGTGCGACGCGGGCTCCGCCCTGGACCACGGGCGGCGCGGGGGCCGGATTTAAGAGCCTCCGGCTCAAGCCGCCGACCCCGCTGGAGCATAGTTGAGAGGTCTAAACCCGCTCGCATGGTTCGAAGATCATCCCAGCCTGCTCGGCAGAGTGTGAAACGTTTGGGGGGGGTAGGGGGTAGCACCAGGACAAGCTCAAGCCAAAAAGACAGGTGGGGGGGGGGGGGGGGGGGGGGGGGGGGGGGGGGGGGGGGGGGGGGGGGGGGGGGGGGGGGGGGCTGATTTTGCTGAGGGCGCCCCTACCCCCCTATGCTGAACCGCCTGTTTACGCTGTGCGGGTGGCGCGGTCCTCCACGAAAAAATTGTGCCCCCCCCCCCCCCCCCCCCGCCGCGTTTTGGGGGGGTAAGGAGGGAAAGAGGGAGCACCTCCTCAAACCCATCCAACACGCCGCCAGGGTTGGCGGACCCCAAACCCTAAACCCCAAACCCTAAACCCCAAACCCCAAACCCTAAACCCTAAACCCTACACCCTAAACCCTAAACCTAAACCCTAAAACCCTAAACCCTAGCCCTAAACCCGAAACCCTTGACCCCTACAAGGGCTCTCGGAGCCCACCTACCAGCTGAGGCAGCTTCAAAATCTGACGGTGCAGCCGGCGAGCCTGGGAAGAATAGGGTTTAGGGTTTAGGGTTTGGGGTTTAGGGTTTAGGGTTTGCCCTAAGGCCTAAGCCCTGAGCCCTGAGCCCTGAGCTCTGAGCTCTGAGCCCTGAGCCCTAAACCCAAACCCTAAACCGCCTAAACCCCAGACCCTATACACCCTAACCCAACCCTAAGCCCCTGTAAATTTCAAGCCTAGACCTTATAAACCTGGGTTCACCCTAAACCCTAAACCCTAAACCCTAAACCCTAAACCCTAAACCCTAAACCCTAAACCCTAAACCCTAAACCCTAAACCCTGGTTCTATATTATTGCTTCTAGGAGTTGAAGGGATGTATTGCCGGACTCGAGCAAAAACTCCGACCCGAAGCTGCCTTCGACCCAAGCTCATTTGCTTTAAGTGTGGGTTCAGGTTTAGGATTTAGGGTTTAAGGCTGAGGGTTTAGGGTTTAGGTTTAGGGTTTAGGGTTTAGGGTTGAGGGTTGAGGGTTTAGGGTTTAGGGTTTAGGGTTTGAGGGTTTCAGTAAACCCCAAAAAGTTGGATGATCAATCCCAGCCAGCTCTATTCATCCTTAAACCATGTTCCAACTTTCTGGAGTTTACCGCAAGCTCTAAACCGATAAGCTTCGACGTTAACTCTATAAACATTGTGCCCTAATGTGTGCTGGAAGCGGTTTTGTTGGTTTAAATTGCCATCGCAGGCCTGCCTTGTATGATTATCTATATCTATATCTATATCTATATCAATATATTTATATATTGATATAGATATGTCTAGTAGTAAATGCTTTTATGGTGAAGGCAGGGCAAAGGCAGGAAGAGAACAGATAGGCATGCAGTGGCCTGATGCCTGATAGGGAGGCTGCTTGCCCAAGGGCATTCTTTAGGAGGAGATCTTTTGCAACAGGATACTTCTTTTAGACATCAGACATTTTGTCAGACATGTCCTAAAATAGTATCCAGTTGTTTCAGTTGCGTGTACCAGTGTCATCTTTTGTCCACGCCACATCAAACAGCCTCGCGGCTTGTCGAACTGAGTCCCACACTCCCCAAAATCCCAGGAAGCCCCGATCCTTCCTGAGCCCTGACCCCTTAAACCCTAAACCCTAAACCCTAAACCCTAAACCCTAAACCCTAAACCCTAAACCCTAAACCCTAAACCCTAAACCCTAGACACCCAGCATACTTCCAGCCCAGAACCATACCCGCTATTTAGGGTTACAGGGCTTGGAGGTGGTATACGTTCAGCCTGTTATAGAAAAGCCTGTACATACACAAGAGCCCTACACCCTAAACCCTAAACCCTAAACCCTAGACCCTAAACCCTATACCCTAAACCCTATACCCTAGACCCTAAACCCTAAACCCTAAACCCTAGGCCCTAAGCCCTAAACCCTAAACCCTAAGCCCTAAGGATACCATCTCTGGAACTGGAGTCCGCGTGGTCCAGCCTAGCCGTCATTCGCCAACAGGCGAAGCGCGAATCGGGTTAAGAGTTTAGGGTCCAAGATATACGTGTTCAGGGTTCCGGTGTTTAGGTGTTTAGGAGCTTAGGAGTTTAGGGATCCAGGTGCTTGGGATGTTTGGGTGCGTTCGGTTGAGGGCTTTGGGGGTGTTTGGGGCACAGACCCCAGCACACTTTCGTACCTTAGCTGAGGGCTGCTCCTCCTTAGGGTTTATGGTTTAGGGTTTTGCCCTGAACCCTAACTCGGAACGGTGGGGATCCCCAAATCTGGCTAAGGGGGCTCTCCTTGCATGGCTGTTGGACACTCTGTCTTCTCTTCGGATAGGTTTAGGGCCTTTGGGTGGCCGGGCTTTTCATTCCTCTTCAGGGTCCCGACGGCCCAAACCCCAAACCCCAAACCCCAAACCCCAAACCCGAAACCCGAAACCCTAAACCCTAAACCCTAAACCCTAAACCCTAAACCCTAAACCCTAAACCCTCAACCCTTAACCCTTAACCCGAAGCCCTAAGCCGCTAGGGAAAGATCTTGTTTCTGTCGGCGGATGGGCAGAAGATCCTGGAGAAGTCCTTGCCGCCAGGCTGCAGCTTCGGGTGTAGGGCTTCAATGCCCTACCCGCCTCGTTCTTGCGGTTTAGGGTTTGGGGTTTAGGGTTTAGGGTTTAGGGTTTAGGGTTTAGGGTTTAGGGTTTAGGGTTTAGGGAATGAGGGACTCAGGGCCCTGTACATACCCTTTAAGGGGTTATAGGGGGTACCTCATTCCCTCACTCCCCTACTAAGAGCCAGCCAGCGTAAGCCCAAACTGGGTTGTGCTTTGGGACAAGTCTTGATTTCCCTTCTTTCCTTACAAGGGGGCCTATTCATGACTGATTTTGGTTTAAGGCACAACTCAGCAAATGATGAAGCGTGAGAGAAGGCAAAGGAGAACTAAGGGTCTCTGACAGAGAAGGAGGAGGGGGCTTTGTTCCCTCCTGCTCCAGGAATGTTCTAGGGTGTTGCGGTTCTCCTATGAACCTTAAACCCCTTAACCCCAAACATGGTAAACCTGAACCCTAAACACCGCACCCTGCACCCTAGCTGTAGGACTCTTTCAGACGGAGGGCTTGGGTTTCATCAGCTTTAAGCTTTAGTTTGAAGTTTAGGGTCGAAGGAGGGGGGTGTCTCTGGGGTTCAGGGTCGGTGGGAGCCCACACGAGTTACTGGCCTTAGCTTGTAGGAACCCTAAACATCCACTTTTTTTGGTTTATTTATATCTGTGTGTGTTTATGTATACACATGCACATGTGTATGCACACAGGGAGCATAATTGGGGTAGGAGGAACTTCAGGACCCCAAGTTTAGGGACCCCAGGTACCCGTGGATCCCTGCGAAACGCACCTGGCGCCTGGGCCCCACGCTGCCGCACAAGCGGCTCCTGGCGATCGCCGTGGTTGCGGCCGGGCCTTGAAAGGTTCAGGAGGCATGGAAATGAAAGGTTTAGGGGCTTTAGGGTTTTAGGGGTTTAGGGTTTGGGTTTCAAAGGTTTGGGGCTTGGGGTTAAGGGATTCGAGATTGTTTTGAGTTTAAGGCTTATCATTACGAGTTCGAGATTCAGGGTTTAGGGGTTAAGAGTTTGGGGCAAGAAGGCTTTGGGGGCTTTTGAGGGGGGCACGAAAATAATCTGTAAGCCTTAAACTGCAACATGAAGGCTTGAAGGGTGTAGAGGCCTGCTCCTTAGCAAGCGTGCAGAGAAGGTGCTCATCACGTTGGCTTTTCTTGTGGGTCTGATTGAGGTTAGGGTTTGTGTCTAGAGTTTCGGCGGTGTAAGTTAATGGCCCTATGCCGCAAGCGCTACACCCTATATAAACCAGAAACTTGAAGCCCCAGAATGCCCTAACTCTGCAGCAACCCCTAAACCCTACACCCCAAACCCTAAACCCGCAACCCTAAACCCCAAACCCGAAACCCTAAGCAACATCCCCAAACATGCGCCAAGGAGGGCCGGCACGCGGCCACCTGCACCCGCAGGCACT